GGCAAAGGTCTGGGGCAGAAGCAGTCCAGTGTCTTTGGGAGGCCCGTTGGCCTCTTAGCAAGGTTCAGGCCACTCAAGAGCGCAAGTGGCGCTGGGAAACGTTCATCTCCTGGCTGCTCGCGCCACGGGCCGCTTACACTGTTTTGTTTTCATGATAAAGTGGTATTTTCACATCGCTCCAGACACGAGAAGTCGAGACAGACAACAGTTCCCATGTACGGTTCTCACCCCACAAGCCATAGGGATGGATGGGCTTCAGCCACTTTTCCTTAGAATCTGTTTCTTTCTGACGTCACCTAATTACAATGTTCACGCGATTCTGATTAATCCTTTCATGAACTGTTATATGGTAAAGAGATTTTTCAAAGATACATTTCGAGCTGTTACCATCATTTTCATACGCAAACCGATCAATGACCGCATGAAAACCACAGCTTGCAATTAGATCTGAATCCCCTTTGTTAGCTCAATTAGCGTTCAGGACACCGCCACGAAACCCTGAAAAACTGTCATTCTGCAAATCTGTTGACACAGAGGCAGTTATGCTATGTTTTTCCGAGGAAATCAGTGAGACACATGAAGCAATTGGTTTCAGGCTATGGGTTTTGCTCCAGACCTTTCTGTAGGGAGCATGGAATGATCGGATAGTTATATCCTCATAGGAAAGCACCAGAAATGCTCACAGGGAAAAGCGTGGGGTGCAGACTTGGCTACACCACGTCTCCCGAAAATGCCACTGAGGCCACACCTTGCCTTTGGGAGCAAGAACCCCAGAGTATGAGGAATCGAGCACACGGACCCCAGCACACGGACCCCGCTCCCCTCCACGCCTGCTGAAAACATCTTCAAACACAATGGGAAACTTGCGGTCCATTTATTGATCGCTCGAGTACAGCCGTAGACACAGACGTCAAGTATTTTTTCAACATTTCAGAGAAAAAGAAACTTGTGCAGAGACGACGCCTGTCACCCGGAGGGTCACGAGCTGTGACCTGCCACAGGCAACGGCCTCGGTTACAGGGTTTGTGATTCGGGTTCGCTGCTAGCGGCTGTTTTTTCCTTGAACTTATCTTGAAAACCAAACCATACCAAGCCAAGCCAAGCCAGACCAAAGCAAGCCAAGCCACACACCACGCTCCCAGAGGGAAGGAGAGGAGACCCAGGGGTGTCAACCCTGTCCAGGCCCACGGCCCACGGTCTGAGGCCGCAGTGTTAGGCCGGAGGCCAGGTGCTGGGCGTCGCAGGTGCCTGACCGGGCCTGGCCCGTCGGGTCACAGCGAGGAGCGGCCATTGCGGCACTGTCGATGGCGGTGCCCGGCCTGGCGTGGGCTCCTGTCCAGGACCCCCCTCCTGGCGCACACGCTCCCTGACACCCCCGCATGGCCCTGGGCTTCCTGGAGTCTGGCCGCCGGGCCAGGAGGGGCAGTTGGATTGTCTGAGCGCAAAGTCAACGGTGGGGCCCAGAAACCGATGCCAGAAACAGCAGCTCCGAGGCCGCAGGAGGGCGGGGAGCCCTGGCCCGGCTGGGCGCACTCAGGAGGCAGGCAGGGGACAAGGACAGGCGTCCTGGGGGAGCTGTGCACAGTCTCTTCACTGACGCTGCTTTGGCAAGGGGAGCCCTGCTCCTGATGTCACCATTTGCAGGGCCCCCCAAAGGGCCCCCGGGTGCTAGTGAAACTCCTTATGCCCTCAGTTACGGTCACGGTCTCCCTGAGAATGCAGACTAGAGCAACAGCCCTGGGCCCTCTCCTCCACGTGCAGATGGGGTCCCCGGAGCTAGTGCAGTCAGCTCTGTGAAACCCTGAAAACATCCCGATTCGACCCACGTTACCACGAGGGTGCATCCGCGTGCAGGTTACTGTCCCGTGAACGGGACACCCTGGGCTGTCCACCAGGTGGGCAGAGCCCCGGGGCGCACACTGGGGAGCAGCGTGGGGGTGAAGCAGGCGTGCGCCCCTCTGATGGTAGGCGGCTTCATGCCCAGGCTTCCTGAGAGACTCGGCTAGTAACCTGCCCTTTTGTTAATGCTGAACACCGAGAAATCATCTGCAGGAGAGGGCTCCTTACAGTAAATTCCCAGCGAAGCCAACTGTGTCAGCTCGCTCTGGAAGCTGTGAGACGAATATTTGAACCCAAGTGGCAGCGCCTGTAATATTTTCAGGAAAACAATTTCTTCCTGAAGTTGCTCACAGTTGAGAGGAATGAAGCCGGGTTTGTCCCCTTCCCTGGTAAACATCCACCTCTGACGCCGGCGCTCACCACTTCGCCGACAAGCCGATTCATGCCCGTGGAGAGTCATCAACGCAGAGCACACAGCCACGGTTCTCCGCGAGAAACCCAGATTTTGGCTGCGGCCCGGGGCTCTGTGGGCGCAGATGGCGCTGGAGGCCGAGCGCAGTCCCAGCGCCCACCGGCCGGGCTCACAGACCTGCAACACCAGGGGGCAGCGGCCGCACCCCTGGCCTGAGGCTTCCTCCAGCATGTACTGGAGACGGATGCAGAACATGAAACCTGCGCAGCACCCCCCACCCCGGGGCTCGCCCCTCTGACCAGCACACCGGCTCAGCGCCATGGGCACCTGCTCCTGGGCCTGACCGTTCCAGCTGCTGCCCTCGGCCGGGGCCGCCGACCGGGCCTCTCCGGCAGCTGTCCTAAGGAGTCTGGAAGACTTTGGGGGGAAGGGGGCGTGCGCCTGTTTGCCTGGCTGCAAGCGAGGTGTGTGCGGTGGTTGGGGGCCCCTCAGCTCGTGGAGACACACAGCTTTGTGCTTGTAAGAAACAGGTGGAAACATTCAGATTCAACCCATGTTACCACGGGGCGGATGGCGCAGGCTTACTGGCCCTGAAGGGAAACTCGGCGTGGCGCGTGCCCCGGCGGC